TTAAATATAATAAAAATTAAAATTTTATCTGAATAAAATAATAAAAAAATTTTAATAAAAATTAACATGCTATGACTTATGTTTATAAGAATTTATTAATTTTTTTAGAAATAAACTCCATAAATATATTATATGAGTGAGGTTAAAATGAAAGTGTTATTTATCTTTCTTAATTTCCTTAGCTTTTATTCCTAACATTGTTAATTGTATTTTGTCTTAACTTGTAATGTGTATTTTTTTTCTTTACTCTTCTTTTTTGCCTTTTAGAATAAAAAAAAATCTTCTTTTTTTCATTTCTAAAATTAAAAAATCATCATTTTTTTCTTACACTTAAATTAAAAATCAAAATAACCCAACCAACAATACAGTAATTAACTATCATAATTATGGAAATGAAATATAAAAAAAAATCACAAATCAAGAGAAAATAAGTAAAGATAGGAATAGTTGAAAAAGAAAAATCTCATTCATCCTCTACTCACCATAGATTATGGAATCTAGGATTTAAAAACATTGAGTAATAACACTCAAATAATAAAATTGAATTTGTAAGTATTGAAACTCTAGCTCAAGATGCTTTCTCAAACAGAACAAGAAAACTCAAAAGCTAAAACAAGTCTTTAATAATAAATGGGGCTTTCTTATGGGTTTTCAATTTTGGATTTTTAATTTGATGATGGTTTTTATATAAATAGGCTTCAAAGATTGTACCTTTAATATATAAGTTTGATTTGTATAAAGAGATTTTGATAAGAGTAAAGATTATTAGGTTTTTTTATTTGCATTTTGTAAAGCAACAACGATTTGAAAGAGAATTAATCAATCTTGCTTATTGGGTATTTGATAGCAGTAAAATATATAATGTTTTAAAAGTTTTTTTTAGTCCAAAAATTTTAAAATTGGATAGAATTTAACGTTTTTAATGTATTTAGTTTCTTGATATTTAGGTTTTAAGTTATGGAACATTAACTTTATGTGAATTCCATGCAAAAGTTGGACAAGCTTATGTTCGGCCAAGTAAGAAGAAGATTAAGTCAAATCTTATTTGCATTATAACTTTATCTATTCAACTATCTTATATTCAAGAGGATTCCTACATGCAATTAGTAAACAAAGAAGTATACTTGGATAAAGCTCCTCAATATTTTTGGCTAAAAAGAGAGATTTTACAAGAGAATTTTTTTATCTTAAAAGAGTTTTGCTCCAAAAAAAATACCTTAAAGAAGGATAAGATAAAGCTATGATACAATAAGGATTTTTAATCCAAAAGAGTTTGAATTCAAGATAAATAACTAAAAAAAATTAATCTTGAAATTTTGCTTTAGCAAAAACTCCATTTGAATTCAAGATAATGAGGACATGGTAAGATACATCAACATGAAAGACCAATCATTAACTCCCATTCAGCCAAGACACTTCATAATGCAAGAAGACTCCCATGTTCAATCAACTCATTTAAAAATCAAGATAGACTTATCTCTTAAAATTTAGATTGAAAAAGGACTCAGTAATCTCAATTACCTTCTTAACCGAATATATGCCTATAAATAGGCTAGGTTTCTTCACTTGTAAACCATCAATCACTTCTCCTTTCGTTTTCCTTTCTTTTTTCTTATTTTTTTTTTAGTTTTTTTTTAAATTAGTTATTGACTTAGATGACTAATTTGCCAATAACCAAAGTTTTTTTCTATAATTCTTTTATTTTAAATCCAAGAAGTATTTTTCAAGATCTATTTTTTTTTTTTTTGTTTTTAAGCTTTATTCTTTACTTTTTCATCTTAGGCAATCATCTTCACTTTTCCAGTTTACTTTGTTTCATGCAATCTTTACTCTCCAAGTTTTCTTTTATGCAAGATTAGTTTCTTCCATAATTCTTTTTCTTACTAGTCTTTAAGTTTCATGCTCTTGATCCCATTAATCTTTCATAATTGGCAATTCCAAGTTTCTTTATTTTAAAGATTTCTATTCTTATTCTTTTAGATCAAGTGTATTGGCTCTTGTTTTTTACTTTCAAGTGACAATTGGTGATATCAAGATCTAAGCCTACAATATTCTTTTGTTTTCTTATTTGCACTCAACTCTAAATTTAATTATTTAGATATAAGATTTTAGGATTTCAATTTTGGTAATTGAGAGCAACCTAACATTACAATCTATAATCCCATGGGAAATGATATTGGAATACTTCTATTTTTATTATTTGATCTGTGCACTTACAAGCTATACAAAAAGTAATAATCAAGTTTTTGACGCTGTTACCGGAGATTATAATGGTATTCTCAATATCAATAAAGATTTCAGAGAAAGCATGCCTTTCTTAGGTTGTAACTTGTCAAACTTTCCTAAAGAAAATCTCTCTTTTCGCAAGTTAATCCACAACAAATCATGTTTTTTGAACTTCACATGTCTTTGTTGCATGTTTATTGCCCTTTTATATTTCTTATTTTTTTACAAAATTTTATTTTGACCCTGTTCATGAAATATTTTGATACTCTTTGCTATTTCTTCTACATCTTCATTAAATTACTGGTTAGTAGAAAGTTGAATCAAATTTAAAAGACAGATTGGGTTCTTACTAAGAACAATTTTAAAATGACTGCAACCAATGGTTTGACTTGGTGAATGGTTGTAACAAACTCCACTTTTAGTAAAATAAGCTCCCATTGTTTCACTTTTTTTCCCATAAAACTCCTCAAGAAAATTTTCAAGCTATGATTGATAGCTTTAGTTTTCTTATCAAGTTGAGAAAGATGACAAGGGCTATAATTAAGATAAGTAATAAGCTTACTCCAAAGAGTGTACCAAAAATGACTTAAGAACTTAGAATCTTGATTGAACACCATGGACTTTGGAATATCATGTAACTTCATGCTCTATCTGAAATACTAATCAAAAACATGAAAAATATTTATGGTTTTGTTACAAGAGATAGAATTTACCATAATGTAAAAAGAATCCACAACCACTACGATGGAATCTTTGTTCTGTTGAATACTTAGCAATCCCACTACAAAGTCCAAGCTGATATTATCTTTTCCAAAATGTTCTCCCAATACACCATCATGAACTTTGGTAAAAATGGCTTGTCTTTAAAAATTGTACAGGCAATTAGCTTTGAAGAGAGAGCCCTTATGTAATAGAAATTGATTATGTAACCAAAGCTTGCATTTTTTCCAAATTTTATTCAATAAAGAACCTCTTCATAAAGTTCTTTGAGCATATCAAAGTCAATAACCTAATTAACCAAAGTTTTTAATATGGAGTGCTTTAGGCCCAAAGCTTCTACCACCATCTTAGGAATTCTAGATTTATGTTTGATGATGAAGTGATATGATTGAAGAAACTCTATCCAAGTTACATGCCTTTGATTGAGCTTGTGTTAGTTGTTAATGATCTATAGTACCTTATGATTAAAATATAAAACAAATGACTTAGCAAGGGGATATTGACTCCAAACAAACAAAGATCTATAAGTTGCATAGAACTGCTTGTCATAGATTGAATATTTTTATTGAGAATCATTAAGCTTCTCATTAAAAAAAGTAATTAAATTATCCTCTTTACTGAAAACATCACCAATTTCAAAATTAAAGGCATTACATTTTACCTCAATCTCTTTTTTCTATTTGAATTGAGTCAATAAATTGCTTCCTTCTCCTTTAGAAGGTTTGGGAGTAGCCACTGGTTTAGTTTGACCCAACACGACCTTACAACTATCCATGAGAAAAGTATAGGCATTTTTGAAACCATCATAAATAACCCTCTTATTATAATGCCAAAGTCTTTCGATTAGTAAGTGACAAGCATCTATCGGAGTACATCATATCACACTTCATCCTTATATTGCTTTTCTATGAATAAAGAAATCAAACACCTCTTACTAACATTAATTTCATTATTTTTTCATAACCAAGACAACCTGTATGATTTAGGGTGATCCATTATTTTGAGGCCTAATTTTTACATCATAAAAATAAAAACAACGTTTTCAAAATTTTTACTATAAATTATAACAGCACATAGCTTCTCATAGGCAGTACACTGAGTGTAGAACATGTTTTATGCAACCAATATTTTCTTTTAGTAGGTGCGGTATTCAAGCTGCACTATATGACTAAGGATGTTCTATAATCACCATAGGTTACCTCTTCCTCCTCTTCAAGTTTTTTATTCTTTTCAACCAGCTCCTCTTTATTTTTCCTCCAAGTCTTTCTCTACTAGAGTCACAATCTTCTTGTTTGGGCATTCTAAGATAATGTGTTTAAGCTCTTGACACTTAAAATATCTTCTAGTTTATGCACTAGACTAAGGCTTGCTTGTTGAGATTTCATCTTTTTTTAGGGCTATTTTGGAATGGACTTAGAAGGAACAATAGTTTTAAATGAGCCGCCTTTATTGACATAGCATTCTTGGGACCTAAATCTCAAGTTGCTATCATGGGCCTCTTTTTATTGTCTCTCCACTTTAAGTGCAAGCTTACATAAATCATTAAAAGTCCAATAGGGTTGTAACTATACCATATTAGCGATCTCGATCTTTAACCTTTCAAGATACCATGTAATAGTTTACTCCTCTTGTTCTACTAATTCGTATTTCAACATGAAGTGTCAAACTCAGCTGTATATTTCTCAACTGAAAAATCTTTTTGCTTTAATTTATAGAGCCTAAAGAAGACATCTTGATAGAAATTATCTGAGAGATACTTCTTTTTTAACTTTTTTCATTTTTTCTCATGTTGTAATTTTTCTTCTGCCTTCTTTTTCTCTTTGCTTCTTCAAATTTTTTCACCAAAAATATGCATGCTTTCTAAGTTTGATAGCAACTAGCTTCACCTTGCGATGTTCAAAAAGCATCATGGTATTCGAAGATGCGCTCCACTATGTGTAGAAAATTTAAGAACTCTTCAGGTTGCATCTTTTCTTAAAACTAAAAAATCTTTATCTTCATATTGAATATGCTATGTTGAAGTTGATTTTTGCATAGGTAGTTTTTGACTTGTCATGGGTGAGGTAGGTGTTATTGGTAGAATAGCTGTTATTTTTGTGGTATGGATTGGCCTCTCATTCACCTTCTTCGTTCCTCTTTTTTTGTCACCTTATCTCTTTTCTTTCTTTTTGTATATGCAACTATTATTATAGTTAAAAGATCTATTGTTACATCTTTATGAGGGTATCCCTTAGGTTAATATTTATAGTTGCTACAACATCGGTGTTGGCTTCAACATCTTCTGCTGATACTGGATGACAATAACCTACTATAGCTCAAATACCAATTTGATGTTGAAAATTAATGGTTGAGATATTGAAGAGTAACTGCAAATAGAAAAAACTCACAAAGAAGTAACTCATAAAATTTTAAATTATGGTAGAATATGATTATTAGATTAAAAGAGATAAAAGTTCACCACTAAGATTAGATATTAAGAGATACAAAAATACCACCCTAAGAATCTTAATCAAGTATATAGAATAATAGAAGTTTATCACTCTATGAAATCTACTTAAGAGATATAAAACTTGAAGAATAATCTAAAAGAATGCTTAAAGATAAAAAAAAAAAAATTCTTCTCCTTTTACCAAAGAATAATAGAAAATAAATAGGCTAGAAACATCCCCCAAGAATGAGGACTTTACAGATTGAATTGTTAGAATCGTGCCTAAAATCATGAAATTTGCATGCGAACACAATAATCTATAATGTGAATGTAATTATCTATCCATTTACTCCTATAAATTATATGATAATGAATTTGACTACAATTTTATCCATCTTCATGCTTTTTTTTTAGCTAGTGTAAACATAATCTCTCTATTCTAACACACCTTATTTCTGCATTTGTTTAGTAAATTTAGACCAATGATAGGCCTATCTTATTTTTGGATAAGTTTTCTTTAATTTTAGCCTAAGTTGTAAAATGTTTGACATTCCGAGGTCACAAAGTTAGTCATTTAACTCCTTCAAACTTTTTCTATCATAAAAGAATAAGTTCTTTACACAAAGTACCAACCATATTAGTTTGTAATCATTAAGATACATGATATTATTTCTTTTGTTTGTAAAAAAAAAAAAAAACATTTCTCTCATTTATTTTGTTCAGTTTCAAAGTTGGTTCTTTAACTCAAAGCAAATTTTCACCCTTGGATCAAGATTCCTAATGTGATCCAATGGTCCAAATTGTTTACTTCCAAAGTTGTGATTTTTAAAGCTCTTGAATCAAGTAAAAAAATCATTTTACCTATAACACAAAGTTTTCGATCTTTAAGCAATTTTCCTGGAAATTGATACTTTCGTGTTCATTTTATAATTTTAAAGCACCAAAAATGATGAAATACTATAAAACTAAAATATGAAAAGTTTTATGAAAATCCGATCTCGAAATGTCAAATTACGAAATTACCTCTAATGAGTATTTTGGTAATTTCATATCTCCTAAGGTGTTACCAAAGTTTTGAATGCACAAAAAATCATCAAATATTTTAAAAGCATAATTTGAAAAGTTTCATGAAAAATCAACTTCGAGAAAGATAAGTTACAAAAATACCTTTAAGGAGTATTTTGTTAATTTCACATCTTTCAAGGTGCAATTAAGGTTTTAAAAATTTAAAAATCATCGAATAATATCAAATAATAATCTAGAACGTTTCATGAAATTTTGACCTTAAAAAAGTTAAATGATAGGAATACCCCTAAGGTTATTTTTATAATTTTACACATCTTAAGGTATGATATGGGTTTTTAATGCATCAAAAATCTTTAAAAAAAAATTTTGGTTATGAGAGACAAATTTTCACGAAAAAAATTCGACTTCAAGAAGGCTAAATTATGAAAATATCTCTAAATGGGATTTTTGTAATTTTATCATCTCAAAGTGCAATCACAGTTTTTAGAGCTTTAAAATTACAAAATTCAATCTTAATCCATATTGTTCCAATTTGATTATCACAAATTCATCCAAGGGTCCAAAATTCACCTTTATTTTTGTTTCAAGGAGCAAACTTTCACCTTACATCAAGATTCCCAATGTGATCAATGGTCCAAATTGTTTGTTGCTAAATATGTAATTTTAAAAGCTCTTAGATCAAATAAGAAGATCATTTTACCCCTAATACAAAATTTTTCTTCTTTTGGCCATTTTTCTAAAAATCGATGCTCTTTTGTTAATTTTGGTGATTTTAAAACACAAAAAAAATAATAATATGAAACTAAAATCTGCAAAGTTTTGTGAAAATTCAATAATGAGAAAGTCAAATTACGAAACTACCCTTAAGGGGTATTTTGAAAATTTCATACCTTTCGAGGTGCTACTGTGGTTTTGAATGCATAAAAAATCATCAAATATTTTAAAAATATGATTTGAAAAGTTTCATGAATAATCAACCCTAGAAATGTTAAATTACGAAATTACACTTAAAAAATATTTTGATAATTTCACACTTTTAAATGTGAGATCAAGGCTTTCAATAACATAAAAATCATCAAATAATATCAAAACATGATCTAAAACATTTCACAAAAGTCCAATCTTGGGAAGGACAAATTATGAAAATATCCCTAAGGTATTTCTGTAATTTCACACCTTTCAAAGTGTGATTTGAGTTTTCAATACATAAAAAATCTTTAAAAAATAATTAATTATGATTTGAAAATTTTCACTAAAATTTGACATCGAGAAAGCTAAAATACAAAAATACTCATAAAAAAATATTTTGATAATTTCACACATTTCGAGGGGTTATCATAGTTTTGAATGCATAAAAAATTATTTAATATTTTAAAATATGATTTAAAAAATTTCACAAAAAACAGACTTGAGAAGGTCAAATTACAAAATTATTCTTAAGGAGTAATTTCACATTACCCAATGTGTGATTTCGGCTTTTAATGCATTAAAAATCCTAAAAAAAAATATCAATTATAATCTGAAATTTTTAACAAAAATTTAACTTTAAGAAGGCCAAATTATGAAAATTCCCTAAGAGAGTATTTTGAAAATTTTACCCTTTTTGAAATGCAATTAATGTTTTAAGTTCTTTAAAATGATAAATTTCATTCTTAATCCATATAGGTTCCAATTTTATTGTCATAAATTCATTCAAGGGTAAAAAATTCACCTTTATTTTTGTTTCAAGTGGAAAACTTACACCTTTAGATGAAGATTCCCAATATCATCCAATGGCCCATATTGTTTACTACCAAAGATGTGATTTTGAAAGCTCTTGAATTAAGTGAAAAGATCATTTTATCCTTAATACAAAGTTTTCAATGTTTAGGTCATTTTCTTGGAAGTTAATACTTTGGCTTGCATTTGTGTGATTTTAAAGTACCAAAAATCATGAAATAATATGAAATTAAAAATTAAAAAGTTTCATGAAAATTCAACATCGAGAAAGTCAAATTACGAAATTACCTCTAATAGGTATTTTGAAAATTTTACACTTCTCAAGGTACTGCCATGGTTTTGAATGCATAAAAAATTATCAAATATTTTAAAAATATGATTTGAAAAGTTTTGCAAAAAATTGACTTCGAAAATGTCAATTTACAAATTACCTTTAAAGGGTATTTTGCTAATTTCACATCTTTTAAAGTACGATTAATGTTTTCAAAATTCTAAAAGTCATCAAATAATATCAAACCATGATTTGGAGCATTTTGCAAAATTCCAACCTTGAAAAAGTAAAATGACGAAAATACCTTTAAAGGTATTTTTGTAATTTCACACCTCCTAATATGTGATCTGGGTTTTTAATGAATCAAAAATCTTTAAAAAATATTCAATTATGATTTGTAAATTTTCATGAAAATTTAACTTCAAAAAAGTCAAATTACAAAAATACCCATAAAAGATATTTTGATAATTTTATCATTCTCGAAGTGCAATCAATATTTTTAGAGCTTTAAAATTATAAAATTCAATCTTAATCCATATTGGTTCTAATTTGATTGTCACACATTCATCCAAGGGTCTAAAATTCACCCTTGTTTTTGTTTTACGGAGCAAACTTTCACTCTTAGATCAAAATTTCCAATGTGATCAATGGTCTAGATTATTATTGCCTGAGATGTAATTTTGAAAGCTCTTGGATCAAATCAAAAGACCATTTTATCCCTAAAACAAAGTTTTAATTCTTTAGGCCATTTTTTTGGAAATTAATGCTTTCATGTTCTTTTTTTGTGATTTTAAACCACAAAAAATATCAAATAATATGAAAATAAAATCTCGAAAGCTTCATGAAAATTAGACATCGAGAAGGTCAAATTATGAAATTACCTTATTTTGGTAATTTCACACCTCTCAAGGTGTTGTCATGGTTTTGAATACTCCAAAAATCATCAAATATTTTAAAAGCATGATTTGAAAAGTTTTACAAAATACTAACCTCGAGAAGGTCAAATTATGAAATTACTCTTAAAAGGTATTTTGATAATTCAATACCTTCCAATGTGCAATCAAGGTTTTTAAAATTTTAAAAATTGTCAAATAATATCAAACCTTGATTTGAAGCATTTCACAAAATTTTGACTTTAAGAATATTAAATTATGAAAATACCCATAAGGGTATTTTTGTAATGTTACACATCTCAAAGTGTGATTTGGATTTTTAATGTATCAAAAATCTTAAAAAATATGCAATTATGATTTGAAAATTTTCATAAAAAGTCAACTTTGAGAAGATCAAATTACAAAAATTTCCTAAAGGGTAGTTTCATAATTTTACACTTTTCAAAGTGCAATCAAGTTTTTTAGTACTTTAAAAATCACAAACTTCAATCTTAATCCACATTAGTTCCAATTTGATTCTCACAAATTCATCTAAGGGTCCAAAATTCTCCTTTATTTTTGTTCAAGGAGTAAACTTTCACCTTTTGATTAAAATTCTCATTTTGATCCAACGGTCCAAATTGTTCACTACTAAAGCTCTTAGATCAAATGAAAAGATTATTTTGCCCTTAATGCAAAATTTTTTATCTTTAGGTCATTTTTTTTTGAAATTGATGCTCTTGTATTCATTTTTATGATTTTAAAGCACCAAAAATCATGAAATAATATAAAACTAAAATTTAAAAAGTTTCGTGAAAATTCAACCTTAAAAATGTCAAATTATGAAATTATCCCCGAGAGATATTTTGGTAATTACTACACCTTTTAAGGTGTAGCCATTGTTTTGAATGCTCCAAATATCATCAAATATTTTAAAAGCATGATCTGAAAAGTTTTGTGAAAATTCATCTAAAAAAATCAAATTACAAAATTACTTTTATAGTGTATTTTAGTAATTTCACACATTTCAAGATGTGATTAAGGTTTTCAAAATTTTAAAAATCATTAAATAATATCAAACTATAATTTGAGCATTTCGTGAAATTCTGACCTTACAAAGGTTAACTTACTAAAACACCCCAAAGAGGCTTTTGGTTTGGGGGAATCTATGCATTTTCCCCCTGAATAATATTGTTAAGTATTTGATTCCAATATTTGATTTAAAATAATCTGATTCCAAGGGAAACTAACAGATTTTTAATAGTACCCAAAGTCCTAGAATTAAAAACCCACTTCCCCTTGTGGTATTTTAAGATTCTAAAGGAAAAATTATGTTATTTTCAAATTTGACCTAAATAAAAAATTATGAAATAGCCGTTACTATTTTAAAAAGTATGTCTGAAAGTGACTACAAATCAATTGTAGATTTTTGCTGTAAAAAAATATTTTTTTATTGATGATATTTTATAAATAAAAACAACAATCAAATATATGTTAAGGAGATTATGATAATTATTTAAGAATTAATATATGTGAATTCCTTCCAACCAAACGAGTGAATTTGAACACGGGATACCTTGAAAATGGAAGAAAACTTCGGGTATCACACTTTTTCAGGGATCAAACTTTATCCTAAAATCTAAGATTTCGCGAACCAAATGTCCCTAAAGGTATTTTACAAAAACACCCCTAGAGTATTTTTATAATTTCACATTTCTCAATGTGTGATCTAGGTTTTTAATTTACAAAAAATCCTTAAAAAAATTCAATTATGATCCAAAAAATTTCACGAAAATTTAACTTTAAAAAGGCCAAATTATGAAAATATCTTTAAAGGATATTTTGGTAAATTTACCTTTCTTAAAGTGCAACCAAGGTTTTTAGTGTTTCAAAATCACAACTTTCAATCTTAATCCACATTGGTTCCAATATGATTATTACAAATTCATCTAAGGATGCAAAATTCACATTTGTTTTTGTTTTAAGGAATAAACTCACTCTTGGATCAAGATTCCTAATGTGGTTCAATGGTTCAAATTATTTAACGCCAAAGAAGTGATTTTTAAAGTTTTTTTATCATGTGAAAAAACCATTTTACTCTTATTATAAAGTTTTTAATCTTTAGGCTATTTTCTTGGAAATCGATACTCCCATGTTTATTTTTGTGATTTTAAACCACAAAAAATTATGAAATAATATGAAACTAAAATCTGAAAGTTTTTGTGAAAATCCGACTTTAAAAAGGTCAAATTACGAAATTATCTTAAAAAGATATTTTGGTAAGTTCACACATCCCGAGGTGCAGCTATAGTTTTGAATGTACAAAAAATCAACTTTTTAAAAGCATTATCTGAAAAGTTTCACAAAAAATCGATCTTGAGAAGCTTAAATGATAAAATTACCCTTTAAGAGGTATTTTGATAATTTCATACATTTTAAAATGCAATCAAGTTTTTTAAAATTATAAAAATTATCAAATAATAGCAAACCATGATTTAAAGCGTTTTGCAAAATTTTAATTTTGGGAAGAGCAAATTATGAAAATACCTTTAAAAATATTTTTATAATTTCACACCTCTAAATATGTGATTTGAGTTTCTAATGCATCAAAAATCCTAAAAAAAATTCAATTATGATTAGAAAATTTTAATGAAAATTTCACTTCAAGAAAGGTCAAATTACGAAAATATCTTCAAAGGGTATTTTGATAATTTTACTTTTTTAAAATGCAATCAAGGTTTTTAGTGTTTTAAAATAAAAAACTCCAATTTTAATTCACATTGGTTTCAATTTAATTGTCATGAATTCATCCAAGAGTCCAAATTCACCTTTATTTTGTTTTAAGGAGCAAACTTTCACCTTTAGATCAAGATTTCTTATGTGATATAACGATTCGGATTATTCGTTATAAAAGATATGATTTTTAAAACTCTTAGATCAAGTGAAAAGATTATTTTACGCCAAATATAAAGTTTTTAATCTTTAAGTCATTTTTTTAAAAAATGGATGCTCTTGTGTTAATTTTTATAATTTTAAAATATAAAAAATCATGAAATAATATAAAATTAAAATTTAAAAATTATGTGAAAATTTAATTTCGTGAAAGTCAAATTACAAAATTATTCGATTTTAGTAATTTCACGCTTTTCAAAATATTTCATGATTTTGAATATTTGAAAAATTATCAAATATTTTAAAAATGTGATTCAAACAATTTTACAAAAAATCGATTCGAGGCAGATTAAATTATGAAAGTACCTTAAAAAATAGAATGCAATTGGTCGGCGATATTAGACAATAGGCTTACATCTCTTGTGATCTAAGTTCTGATGACTGGTTCTTCCATCACCACTCATGCTCGCCACTGTTTTAACTTCTCTCATTCCTTTATCTTCTTCCTTGAACTCAAACCAAAATCCTTACAAAGCCCTCGGAGGAAATCCCTCTTTTAACAAAAAATTTGGATTCTCTATCTCGTAAAACCCCAATAATTGCCCCATTAAGATGCCTACAGCTCCATGGATGAAGGCTCCTCGCCTTCTCCAACCGCGTGAAGTGTTAAACCCTTCAAAACCCACCACCAAAAAGGGCTCAAACAGAAATGCTAAACCACCTGACAAGGCATTGTTTGGCAAGGAAAGTGGGGTTAGAGGGAAGAAAGTGATGAAAAATATCATTAGAAGCATGGAAAAGCTACAAAGAAATGTTGTTTTGGAAGTTACCCAGATTGGGATTTCTGAAGAATTCGAGCTGGAAAGGTGGTTGGAGGAGATTGGAAGAGATGGAGAAGCGAAGAAATATGATACGAAAATGCCTTGGTTTATGTTTAGGAAGATGAAAAAGGAGAAAGTTTTGACTCAGGCTGAAATTAGTCTTGATAAAGATTTGCTTGAGAGATTGAGAAGGAAGGCTATTAGGATGAGGAAATGGGTTACAGTGATGAAAGCGGTTGTAACTCAGGCTGTTGTTGATAAGATAAGGTTGGCTTGGAGGAAGAATGAGCTTGTGATGGTGAAATTTGGCGTCCCTTTGTGTAGAAATATGGATAGAGCAAGAGGAATCGTTGAGGTTTGTGCGACAACTCCTCGAGAAGACATTTTCTTTAAGCCACTCCATTATCAGGAGACTCCATGATAGAGAAAAGTTTAGCGGTCTAAATGTTCTGATTCTTTCACAGGTTCTGCTACTTCTTCAACAGTTACACAAATTTCCACGGGTAATGATTTGCCAACTGCATTTGGTTCATCTTTTACTAGCGCATAGACCACTGCTGTTCTACCTGGTGCATACACCAAGAAGGAACGAGGCCGGTCATAGACCACTGCTGTTCCACTTGGTGCATACATTAAGAAGGAACGAGGCCGGTCATCATACCATCCTTCCTGCAGAAGCCCCCATTAGGTTATAAGTTGGAGAACCCTTGATTGAATGTCGAAAGGGCATACAGAATTCAGCAATAAATCTTCAGAGAATTTACTTACAGTGCTGAAGTACTCAGCATTATGGTTAAGTCCATTGAAGTCTCCAAATAATGGATCATCTGAATCCAATACAATCTGGGAAAAGGAACAAAATAAAAATGTTAATCATCTCGTGACAAACAGCATGAACTTTGTTGAAACAATATTTGAAGAATCAATAACAATATAAAAAATGAATGATTTGTGGATACGAATAACTAAGTGGGCAAGGTGGGATAACAAAAGGCATAAGGAATTTTTGGCATGCAAATTCTTTCATCTTGTATGAACCAAAAGATGTTATACCTTGTACTTTCCTGGCTTTAAGCAGCCCACTCGGTAGTCAAAATAGCTGTTATGCCAGTGAAAGTTGAACACAAAAACCAGGTTGCCTCTTTCAAAGACAATCATCCTATCTCCTTCATCCTTCCGTGATATATATTGGTGCTCAGAAGTCATGAACTGAATAAACAATCAACCGCGCATCATTTTTAGTGGAAAGTAAAGCTTCTTGGCTACCCAGACAACACTGTTTGATTTGGATAAATCTCATAGCATGAACAGGCGATAATTCATAATCACAGAAGACCATAACACAGTATACTAGTTCAAAATAAAAGGTAAAACTTTGTTTTCTAGGGATTATGAAATTAAGGGAAAGAAATTGTTTAAAAATTGAGTAATCCTGTGAACTAATAATGCTTCTCTTCTGTCTTTTATGTGAAGAGAAAGAATCTACTAAAATCAGAGTCACGCCCGCAGGCATGTATGGTGAGCCTGAAGGTTTTAAAGATCCATGACCATGAAATGATTTAAATGAAATCATTTAATGATAAATTTTGTCAAAAACTTCAAGCAATGACTTCAAGAAGATTACAATAGACATTTTGCTAATTAAAGTGACAACTGAAAGTGATCACCGATGACTATCTCTATTTGCTTATTACTCTCTTAATTTTCACTTCCTCTCTTCTATTCTGCTTAATGTTCATTGATTTTCTTTGTTTATCATTCCTTTATTTTAAAATTTCGCATCCAATTGACTGTGATTAATCACTAGATAGAAAAATAAATAAAATAAGCAATAAAATGTATGGTTAAGCAATCCCATTCATCAGAAAATATAAAACAACAAAACAACAAGCACCATCAATAGTTACGTCATACTTTGCTTCTAGATGCTGCATTGCCTGATCAAATTCATGCATCCCACGATACCTCAGATAGTCTGCATCCCCCTGTGTGCATATAACAAAATATAACAGTGTATTGCAGCACATGTGAATGCTCACACACATACAATGTGGAGACATTCATGCATAGCAACCGTAAGGATCAATAATACTGTTATATAGTTGATTGTTGATTGTAAAATACAAATGCAGACAACACTGCTAGTAGCCAGATGAAAGTAAAATCACATTACTATCAAACTTTGTAATAAATTGTAACAGAAGCAAATATGAAATGAAGAGAAACTTACAAGATCAAATCTATGCCGACATTTATCATAACTGAAATTATTCCCGGAATTACTGTGCCATTAGGAAGACGCTGGTCACCCATTGGAAAATCTATCCACTCTGAAGAAAAGAATAATGGAGAAATTATAACACAGCATCAAGAATCGTCAAATTGTACAATTTGATGATAAAGAATGAAGAGACATCAGGAAGAGTTGCAACCAGTTGATCTTTACCAGGATGACCAAATTCATTTCCCATGAAATTCAAATATCCTTCTCTACCTAATCCCATGGTAATAAGCCTAATCATTTTGTGTAATGCTATCCCACAATCTATAAGCGGAGTAGTTGGTCTATCTAGAGCCATAAAGTCATACATATCCCGCAAAAAGCAATTGAAGCTAATTATATTATTAATTATAAAGCTGAATCAGGCTGGTTATACACAATTTCTCTATTTAAATGAAAACCAGGGTAACTTTTTTTCGTTTGTATTTAACTTTGCAAAATGCAATATAATTGCAGATTTCTAAAACCTTGAGGCCAAGGAAAGAAAAGATTGTTAAGTAAAATCATTTCCTATATCCAGTTAGCTTTCCAAGTGCGTAATACTCATAAGCATGAATACAAGTAAGAACATATTTAACCTTATCCATCAACCAGAATGCTATTATTTTGTCACCAACCACCTCCTGTTGGTAAGTGTGTGAAAAATGTCGCCCATTTTCCAGTCTCCATCCCTCTTCCCATATGACATAACAACGCAAAAAGTACACATAGTTTAACATCAAATACATATCACAAGATAGTGGATTCCAGGTCATCACATGGTAAAAAGTTTTAAATTGGATAGTTACTCACTTAAGAAGCTCAATCCATTTATCAGCAATGGCCATGTGCAGTAGGTAATCAAATCCGACACCACCATCTTGGACAGGAAGGCAAAATGTAGGCATTCCACTCACCTGTAGCATACACAATTGCACAATTAGCATAACAAAGATAAAGAATATTGACATTTTCCCAAAAGAATTACTCATCTCAATTACATTCCTCTTAGTATTATCCTTTATTTGTTTTACTAATTATTTGATTGATTATTATGACAGATGACAATTTAAGATGGTGGAAGTCTACCTTCAACTAATTCCTTTTCAATATTCACAGAACTTAAAGAATGTTATTTTTGCTAATAATTTATGAAAATCTGCAACTAAATCACTCCAATAAAAACATTTTATCAATTAAATGTTCCTTACTATGCTAATATTTCTAAAGGTAAAACATAAATTACGTTTTATTATGCTAGTAGCTCTTTAGGTGAATTATTTGCACAAAAGATGTAATATGTGAAAAGCAAGGATATTTTAAAATTTCTAAAGATTCTTGTTTGTTCCCTTCAAGTGTTTTTGGAATTTTCATTTTTGGCATCTTTAGTTGCTATGTTTCCGTAACTCTTGGTCTAGAATAAAAATTAGTTCAATTTGCAGCAAGCATTTTTAACAATTCTTTAGTTCATTCTACAATATCAAAACACTTAACTACTAGCAGGGTAACCTACTTATTCATGGCAGATGAATTCAATTGATGCATGAAGAGAAGTGATGAAGCAGTAGAGAATTAGAAAAACATGTACAATACACAAAATGTTTGGTAGGCTTATGCATAGACATGTACATGTGTGCAAACTTTTTCAAAACCATTTCTATACTTAGCATCCTCATGGATCATGTAAAAAAGTATTGAAACCCCATTCCATTTACACAACCCAGTGCAACAAATGTCACTGTAGAAGAGACAGGGGACTTAAAGCGAACATCATAACTCTGAAACAGATAAATGATTATAAGTCCAAGGATGCTCAATGTGACTCAAAGAAGAGTTATAGAACATACATCTTCACCAATGGTGACAACCTCAGGATATAGCCTATGAATCATATGATTAACTAGCATCAGATAGACAACAGCATCTACATCAGTTACATATCCGAAGTACTCATTGTAGTTTCCAGTAAATGCTACCTACAGCAAGTTCAAGAAAACAAAGGTTAAGTCGGGATAATACATTATAAAGATGCAATGACACTGACACCTTTTAATCCTCAAAAGAATTTAGTTAAGAAACAAATGTAGAGAAAGGATGCTTCACCACTTAACAAGAACCAAATGTTACATCAGTTCTACTTCTATATATAACATAAAGTCAAAACTTTGATAATTAACATCTGAACATGCAAGTAACTTATTATATAACACCAAGCAAAATAGAAAATCTACAAACTCACTCAGATATTACCTGCAACCCATGATAGGTGTACATCATTGAAGTCACACCATCAAATCTAAACCCATCAAACTTGTATTCTTCCAGCCACCATCTTGCATTTAAAAAAAGAAACCTTAGTACCTAAAGCAACAAGTAAAAATTAATATTTACACACAATAGGATGGAAGGAAGCCAAAATCTTTCAACAAGCTATTGTTTAAGAGAAGTTTCAGTAGAAGTACATACTTTTCAGCTTCCATAATTAAAAAGGCGAGAATCCCACATCCAGTGGTGACCCTTTGACACCGAGTGGAAGTAATGAGCATCGATTCCATCAAACATGTTCAATCCATCTAACACATTATTAGATACGTGGCTGTATTCGTCAAACATCAATCAGATACAAAAATGGATGAGAAAATTAATTAATAACTTAATTTAACTAAAGAATAAAAATTATCTGAGACTTATAGCAAAAGATTACTTACTCAAAGCAATAGAGCAAATACTTGAATAAAAATTTGCTACAGTTTAGAAAAGAATTTAACATTAATGACACCAAAAGAAAAAACTTTCATTGTAAACAATACAATAAGATTCCATTTGGTAGTTGATTTTGCTACTAGCTTTTTGCTTCCAGAAGCAGAAAGTACATTTGGGTAGAAAAGATAATAATACTTTAAAAGAATTAAAAATAAAAAATTTAATCTCTTGTAGAACAAAATACTATGATTTCTCTTTTAATAGAACAATTATACTGCAAATTCTATTACATTTAGTCATATATATTTTCAAACAATTATGACTTTGCTTTCTCCCTTTTAGGTTTGTTCTTTAGAAACCTTTTAGGAAGCCAAAAGCAACTAGAAAAAACATAGTAAGAGTAAGGACCAATAACAGCCTAAATTCTCATGGCCATATTTGCATCAATTCTACTGGAAGAATGAC